AAAAACGACGTACTGATTTTCAGCTACCTCTCAAAAGGTTACGCGGAACATTAAAATTTAAAAACAAAAAGTTGGTGTCTGTGTAAATTAGGGTGCTGTGTACACGAAGCATAATGTATATGAAGTGTATGTAGTATGTACTTACGGAGCATTAAAGATTCAAATAGTAAATTACAACCTTAAAACAAATAATAAATTACAACACAAAAAAGAAAGCAAAAATTTTTAAGTTGATTATTGTGTGTGATTAATTTACTTGCTAAAATAATAATAAATCTGTCGGATACGACACTTCAGGCGCAAAATGCAAAGGTATTCCTTCCCAATCTTTGCTTGGCCAATATAGTAGATTTTAAATGTTTTTTAAAAGTGTATTTAGATTTAAATGGGGGAGGATGTTGTTCCAGCACTTCTTTGCCTAATAACGGAAACTGCCAGTGAACGCCACCGTGCGGTGTTGCTGCACTAATAACAGAGGACATACAGACCTTGGATCTTCTTGGAAGTATCGATTACGAGGGAAAATCAGTTTCTCGTTCGGTTTATTCGGGACGTTTATTTTTCATTATAACGAACATAAGGCAAGCAAGATGAAATTTTCTACGCGAGTCTATGTTCAACACTGATGCAGTATTTAAATAAGGAGATATTTGGGTCCGTGGAAAAATATTATAACAGAACCTGCAACAAGCATTTTGTTCGTGCTGCAGTAGACGTTTAGTTCATTCTAGGATGCGAGGCCCATACACGACATCACCGTAATTAAGCCTGGAAATGATCATAGATTCACAAAGCATGATGCGGGACTTTTCGCTCAGTAAGTGACGGAGCTTGTATAGTACTTTGAGACCATAGAAAGAGCTATTTACAAGGCTCAGTATGTGGCTTTCGAATCGTAAGAAACTATCAATATCCATCCCAAGGCTTTTTGCCTCGTTCACGCGCGCAAGGTATTGACCATGAACAGTTACGATGGGATTACAATTATTAACTCTGTTAACCTGCACTTTGCCTCCAAGCATCATAAACTTAGATTTAGTAGGATTTAAAACAAGAGAATTCTTACAGGACCATTCATATACATCAGTCAGGTCTTCGTTTAGTCTTTGCAAGGTAGATAAAGTATCCTCAGGTTTTGTTGAGATATACAATTGGACGTCATCCGCATAAAAATGACACCTACAATAACTTCACGATACGCGAAAGATCAGCACAGTAGATAATAAATAAAAGAGGACAAATAATTGAACCCTGAGGCACACCACAGATTACTCTCCGAGAAGCAGATTTCAAAACAGTACCATCATGTTTATGAAGTATGACAATCTGCATTCTGTTATGTAGGTAACTGTTAATCCACAATAAAATAGTGGGTGTTTATTTTTTGCATTTTCAGTTGGTCTAATCCTAGTTCAGGTAAGCTTTTAAGAATCTGTGGAGACTTGTTAAGAAAATTAAAGTATGTTTCCTTTATGTCAAATTAGCTGTAAGCGTTTAAAGTAATTAGTAGCAGTAGAGCACCTTGTGAAAGAGTTCGTCCAGGAAAGTACTGCCATCTTGATTATTTCTGCCGCCAAGTAGTAATGCGAGCATTACTGCATTCCAGATTTGAAGGGTAAGGATGCTAGTGAAATTACAGACACATGGAACATGTCAACTTTAGCCTGAGGGTGACAGGTGCGGTGGCAATGTCCCTCGAGTCTTTGCGATTTTAAGAGTGAACCTTAGTGTCACTGCAACTGTTATGGATAGACGTGTCGCTTAACACGAGGTGTACAACTTGCCAACGCGTGATTTGGTAAGTATCATTAAAAAAGTTGTCCTTCGTGTCCCATTGATTTTTTCCACCCTGTATACGTCAATATTTTAATGAACAATATTTGCTACTACTTAGATAGCAACTGCAATGAAAATCGACTGAATGGTGCTGACAAAATTAGTGGAATTATTCGGTGATTGCTGACGTCTGAGGCGGAATATAGCATAACACATAAAAATTCCTCAACGACTTAAAACATAATGCTTGACTACTATATTTGTATAGCTGTCGTTTGGACGCTTTTGTTCAGTCACCATCGACTGAACAATAAATTAGCTGCACTATTTTGAACAGAAACTAATATAGATAAATTTAAACATGCATTAAAAAAATATTTATTATTAAAAAGCTTCTATTCGGTGCAAGAGTTTTTATCAATTTGATATAGTATACATAAAAATTTACGAAAAGAAAAATAATAAAATTAAAATAAATAGTTTAATATTGATAAATAATAATAAAAATTAATATATGATAATATTATGTGAATGTTAAGTTAATTTGGATTTATTATTAATATGTGAATATTTGATTTGAGATACTTACCATTATTTTGTGAATGTTTACATTGAGTTGTTATTAATTATTAATAATTTGAGTTAATTGAGTAGGCATTTTATATTTGTCATGTTTATTGTATTGTGAAGAATTAATGATTATATTAATGTTTACTACTAACTACTAACCCAACCAGCAAAGGTGTGGATACTGGAAAATTTTAAATGTACATCATATTTACCACATGTTCACAATAGAATAGAATAGAATAGAATCGTTTATTTCATGTTATCAATGTCACAATATTACAATTGGAAATACAATGTCAAGGGATAACTATGATCGTCAGTAATAAAATTATAATAATAATAATGAATATAAAATAAAGTAGTATAACTACTGCTTGTCGAATAAAATAAAATAAAAATTGTTTCAAAAGAAACTCATCGACACTGTACAATTCAATATCCAATAAAAGGTTTTTTAGTCGGGTACAAAACGTTGCATCGTTTCTAACACTTTTCAGGTCTGTGGGTAGATGTTCGTAGAATCGGGGACCTATTACCCGCGGATTTCTAGTTGCAAGTTCGGTACGGTGGGCAACGGATTTTAGTGTTCCCGCGTTTCGTAACGCTCGGCCTCCGCCCGTACGTCGCTCATAAGTAGCCAAGTTTTGACGCGCATAAACTATTATATCATAAATATATTGTGAGTACATGGTCATTATATTGTATTTCTTAAAAAGGTTTCTGCAGGTCTGACCCTTTTTTATGCCTACTATTGTTCTTAGTGCACGTTTTTGAAGAATAAATACCCTAATCGACTCAGTTGAATTACCCCACAATGTGATAAACATCTTATCTTAAGTAATTATTATAAAAAAATAAGTTGACTAATGTTAAATATAATTCTAGAATATTTTGACCTGAACTAGTTTTTAGGTTGTAATTTATTATTATATGACATACTTAATACATATTTAATAAGACGTTTTGACGATTGCAAAAATGTATATTTTTAATTCATTTAAACTCTTATAAATTGTAAGTAAATTGTAACACAAATTATATTCTGATTTTAGATTTGACATTGCTGCGCCCTTACAGGGTTCATGTTGATCTATACCAATAATTTAACACCTATAAATGTAACAACGTGAATGCAATAAATGGTTAGACTTTGACTTTGATTAAATATTTCTTCACTATCATGAAGCTTACTTGAAGAAGTAGTTTTGAGTAAGGCGTATAACACACAGATGCAGCGCACCACGTCCACGGTGGACATAGCTGACTGTAATTTCTGTGAGTTTATATTATGCACCTCACACTGGCATCGCGGCACTGGCATGACGCTCGCTCCGACACACGAGGCGGGCGGTCACCTGCAGCGGTTTCCGCAGCAGAAACCACTCCAGCATGTTATTTGCCTAAGCAACGCAAGTTTAAACTAAAAAATGTAGCGATAGGCCTTCAACTCACACAAAAATAACAATAACTTCGACTTTAAATTTAAACAATCAATTTTATTATTTTTTATTTATTTATATCAGGTAACAAAGACCCATGTATACATACCTTATAGACTAACATACATAACAATATAAAAACAAAATACACCTATATTATATATACCTTAAAACAAACATACATACAATATAATAATAAAAACTAATCTACACGATTTCCCTTATCGGCGACACGTGTGGCGCAATCTGGTGTCAGGTAACCGGCCGCGGAATCGCCGATATATGACACCCTTCGGCCAAAATTCCTCTTTCATGAAGGTCGAAAGATGTTCGGTCGGTATTCTCACCACAAACGAATTGAAGTTCACGTTGCGGCGAGACCCCAACCGCTCGACCCTCAGGGTGTATTTAGTTTTATGCCTGATATACTCCACTATCTCCTCAGACTTCGTGGAGTAATGCAGCCGCGAAATTTTTAATTCCATCAAATTGATTTAACATGCGTGCATATCGAAATTTACAAGTTCTCTTTCCGATTCAACTATTAATTAAAATCGGAAACAAATTAATGCAAAATTAAAGGAGATTTTGTTTTTGTCCCTCCTTTACAATTCGATTGGGGAACATTATAATTTTAAATAATAATAAGAAACATGAATGTTTTTTACTAACCCGTTACTGGAACGAATTTTCAAAACTCACATTGACCCGCTTGACAAGCGATTACTGGATAATATTTTGTCAACATTTTATTAACCCTGGACGAAAATAAAGCGTGTATATAAAATTCTGGTTGATTCGGTGGAAGATGGTTCATTCGCGATCTGGAACTCGTCGAAAACGGAGACGTGTGCGTTTCTCAGTTTAAGTTCAAGGCCTTAAAACTTTTTTGTTTTATCAGGTGAGACTAGGAGTATGCTCTACAAATCGTACAATCGTGTTTTAAATATGTGTCCAGTGTACTAAGCAATATTATAGTCAGTGGGAATATAGTGGCAAATTATAGACACTAGGTTTTGCGGATCGCAGTGATACTGGATTTTTGCATTTCTTTATAACATGGAGAAGAGCTACTAAGTGAATTTTAGAAACTCATTTCAAAAATTATTTACGAATGAATCGAAATAAACTGTGACGTGAGTGCGAATGAATCAATCATAGCTATTGAACATATTAAGCAGATTTAAAAAAAACGATATCTTGACTTATAAAAAGTTTCAGGTGAGCTCGGACTCAGAACGCGAGGAGTGTGGGCGGAGAGACATTCGCCTCAGTAAGAGATCGGCTACGACGCCGCTCGCACGACCAGCCGCCGCACAAGGTACTTTCATGTGTCATGCGAACACAGCTTCTATAACATACAGCACTAATAAAATGCTTGCAGACTTTACGCTAATCACCCGAGGTTTCGACCTCGACATCCATGACTAACTTCAAGAACAAGGTGTTCTGTTACAAAAATAAATTCGCCATGACTTCATGACACTGAAATAAACACTTCTTGCACTCGGTAACTGCTGGAACGCGTGTTTGCATGTTAGTTCATCAAACCATACTGACAGGCTTAATGTTCGAAATTTGAAACGAGGTATTTTTGTTTTTGTTTTTTTCATTATTGTCTATTTGTGCACGTACTTATTGTACACAGCATTCATATTCAGTGACAGGTAACTCGTTGCACAAGCACTTAAAAATAGATATATAAAAGTTATTCCTGTTCATCGTATAGTCCAGACCACTCGCCGGATTATTTTCAACCTTGATGACGGCATTGTTAACCTTGTTTCTTTGTAAACAACTTTTCGGGTTTACAACAGTCCCAAGCATATTTATTGCTCCTTTTTCTGATGAAAATTCTTTGAAATACACTTTAACACCTTTATAAAGCGACTGAAATTTAAACAGCTCTAGTCATTTTCATTGTTGAATTAATAATGAAGAGTCTATAAGGATCCGCTTAAAAAGCACTTTTGAAGAGGTTGTTTAATAAACCGCATCCGACTTACAAACAATGAATTTTTAATTCCGAAAATAAGTGCTAACATATTTATTACGCACGTGGTAAACAGTCCAACACGAAAATAGACTATCTCTCGTCGTTCACATTTTAATATCGGAGCTTCGAAGCAGTGGAATGGACAAAACTGTAATGTAATGTTTTTTCTACACCTACGCACGCAAAACTTGTTAAGCTGTTACATGAAATGGCATAGATAATCTTTGTACTCGATCTTTAAAATTTCATAAAGATACACGAAAAATGGCGGCTGCGCGCGCGAACATGCCAGTGCCAAAAATAATTGCACGAAATTACGAATTAATGTATATACAAATTGTAATCGTGACCTTTCAATGTCATCTCTTAGGAACAAGTAAAAAAAATCTCGATAATTGTAATACTATACAAACGAATACCACCTCCATATCCGTAAATGTTAAAGTCTTACTTACTTGGATATACCGATACAACTTGTCATTTAAAAATGAACCTTAATTAAACAGTTGTATATTTTTGTTAATTTGTATTTGAGCTTGGAAGGTCACTATTATTTTCGACAGTAGTTTTGAAACTAATATTAGTAACTGTTAATTCAAAATCTAATATTTGTGTCTTCCTTTATTTGACGTAATATCACAGATTACTTAATAGTTACTGGTAGTACCTGGAATTATAATTATTTATATGTTTGCGGTTATTATATCTTAAAAAAAACACTAAAGAGGTCGTTTGTATATTTTCGCCATTCAACTGTTCTATTTTCTGCTACAACTAATTTAAAAGATCATTAAACAAAGTCATGTGCTTCTTAGATTATCTATTTAAACGCCTCTACTAACGCTAGTTATTTTTCATTCAAAAATTCGCGATTGAGACTTTGTGTTGATTGTTTGGGAGCACTCACGTGAATAAATAGAGCACCAATAAACGCATTTTCTGCAGCGATATACATTTTTTTTTTTTTTTGGAAACACTCGCACAAATAAATAAATATCAATGAAAGCATATTCCGAAATGGTCGTAGACTTTTTTTACGTCCAAAGTTTATTTTGTATTATAGTATGATATAGAAGAGCGGGCTGGCTTTGGAAATCTTAAAAAACACATAAGTACTTTGCGCGATTTAAAGTCAAACTTTTATTTAAATAAAATAAAATAAAAATAAAAAGGTATTTATTTCTCCACAAAACATAAGGAACAATGACAACAATACTTAAAAAAACAATTGAGTGATATGGACAAAAAGGTTAAAAACTCATTTTCAGTCTTCCCCTGTAGCTGTTTTTTTCCGCTTGCTTCTTGTATCGTCCCAAACTGCAGTGTTCAACTTATGTCGAATGGTATAAACTATCCAGGATCGTAACACTGAAATGTGAAAAATACTTTCATCTCAAACTTTTATTAATAAAAATCACCATAAATACTTCAAAATACGTGTCGTGTTCTGGCCCAATATGTACGGGGTTATTTGTAAAATGCAAATAACCTCGCAGGACATTACTAATATCATAAACAACAACTTTTGCTCCATGACTTTTTACAAAACAATAAATTTACCAAAAATAAAATTTAAAGTTTTTGTGGTACTATCTGACATTTTAACAAAGTGAAATTTAGGCATGAAACACAAGTTTTTGTTTATGATGTTAGATAGTCCTGCGAGATTGTTAGTTGTTTTCCAAATAACCCTGTATAATTAAATTATAATCTTTAAATTATTAATGGAGCAATTTCAAGTTTTTGCAAAAAAATTTGTTAACCGTTTTATGTATTTTGAAGCAGATTATTTAATGAAGGAAGAATTTTTTGAACGATTAGTGTGAAAATTTTTACAATTAATTTTACCAAACGGCTGACGGTGCAATAACATGTTGGTTAATTCTGGAACGGCACCGTTCCTTCCGCATCATTTCGCAATTAGTCCGAACACAAATAAATCTTGCAAAACTAAGACACACTGCGCGTGTGCTTGCTTACACTGCGTGAATGAAGCCATACGTTTTGAGAACAATTAATTTGTTTACACCATAAACGCAAACAAGTGAAAATCGCGACTTGCAGGAGCACCTCATTATTTTTAAATTTTTGATTGATCGTTAATTGTTTTTACGTAACTGTTTTGTTTTTTTAATACTTTTTATAGATAAATAGTGTTATTTATTTATTCAATAAACAAACAATTCGGTATGAAAACATTAACCAGAATATTAAATAAAGTATACCTAGAGTGTCCTTAATTTATAATGCAGTTCAAATCTCAAATTCGCCAAACCGTCTCACCTTCGAAACAACAGAGATAGATGCGGACTGGCAAGAAGACCATCGAAACGGTAGTAATAGAACAATAGGGCTTTAATTTAATTTTTAAATTACGATAACGTTCTGGTAGATTTAAACAATATTAGGGCCAATAAAACAAGACAGATTACGTACTTACCTTTTTCGGTGATGAGTCACAAATATCCTACCTCGAAACATTTACATTTAATTGAACTACAAGCTCACTTCAAAAAGTTTATTATTAAAAACTTATTTGCACCTCTCCTTCACACGGATCCGTTAAAAATATGGTAATAGTCCACGTCTGTGACAGCCTTATAAAATGGCAATAAGAGGGGCTTTCGAGGCCCTCCGGCGGGAATCTCACCACTGTAATAAAATTATCCGGGCGAGGATAAAATTGTCAACCTAATCCTTAACATGCATCAGTGTAAACATAAACATTTACATGACTACAAATTTACCTCTGCCAGCCATAACGACATTATCATGAAACTACACGCGTTTTGGCGAAGCAAATCATATTTTTATATTTATAAATTAGACCACACATTTTAGTTTAACTAAAATTGTGTTCAGAAAATTAAGCTTACATTTCTATAGGTATTCTTGACCTTTCATAAGTTAGGTCACTTTGTTAATTTTATTTTATATGCATGTAAAGGATAGGCATTTATGACTTTTTAAAGCTTATCGTGTGATCATACCCAACTAACCTCTTTGTGGGAGAATATACGCAATTCAGTCTTACGCACCATGGGTGAGCTTGCCTGAAAAATGACCAACAATTAACTTTCTAAGCAAACTACATTGGGAAAAGTGCTAAAGGCCATTAGAATGTACTATTACATTTATTGATTACATGCTTCAGAAGTTTTCAAAGTTTGCATTGCATTTTATCATGCATTTATAATAGGGAAATGATATGTATTTTTTAAATTGGTACTCATTAGTAATACTTTGAAATGATAATGTCAGTTGGTATGAACGCAGTAAAGTCAGAGAAAAGGCTTATTCATTTTCCTGAGCAAAATTTCAAATTAAATGTTAAATTTCATGGTCCTCCTTTTATTTAAGATGCTATGTTATTTAGAAAAAAACCATTCTCATGATTGAGGCTTATGATCACTGTAGTAAAATTACAGGGTTTTCTCACATTTGGCGGGACAGGCGATTATTTCAAAATCTTTGAATGCAGTTCGAATTGTTTTTAAAATCAAAATGAAGTTCTTAGGTTTTCGCGATTGTTACACATAGGAAATGAAACTATTTTCAAAATTTAAACCGCGTATATTTGTTTTTTCAATCAAACCGACGTTTCGTGCCCTTTACAGGTCCCATGGTCACGGTTTGAAAAAACAAATATACGCGATTTAAATCCGGAAAAGTAGTTTCCTTTTCTTTAAATTTTCTTACAGTAAAATTTTCTATCCACGGTTTTTAAGGTACTTTCCCTCTGTTTGGCATAGCCGTGAGACGCCCAGTATAATAAATTTGAACGAGATATTTTCATTAAAATGTACACTAGGCGTTTACGTGATCATAGGAAGAATATTGTCTGGGTCTGAATCACTAACCATATTATGTACATTTTGATATACACGGGACCTAGGAGGATAAAATATGTTTTATCAACTACCGCCTAGCATTTACAAGCCCACTAGTTTTTAAAAACTCCTAACAATTTTGTCCAAAGACGTTGGCGTCTTCTATACAAGATACTATTTTTTTGCATTAATGAAGAAAGAAATGTATTCAATCCCGTTTTCACACGCACGAAATGGATGCATTACAAGTCGAGAAGACCAAGTTTTAATATAATTAGAGAAATTATCGCCGCATAAGTGCAAGTCCGAAAGGTTGACAATCGCGTCTCGGTCGCTGTATTTAAATGAGGCCAAATTGAAAGTTAAAGAAGGTGACATTACGAAAGTAACATTTTTAAATAGCAGGACTAAAATTTGTTTCCTTATTTTAGAATTTGCGTTTGTTCGTTGTTTTTATTTTGAAAGGTGATTTGCAGGAGTATAGTAAATGTAGAAATATTGGTGCACGGTCTGTCACAATTTGTCTTCTCGGGTGAGCTGTTTGGTTAGAGCTCTGTCGTCGTTTTTTTTATCTAAAAGAAAGTCAATCAAACTTCAAATTTCTGTCTTTGAAAGTCAGTCTGGCTTTGTCATCATCATAGTTGGATTTAGGTAAAAGAGTGTCTCGTACTTATGAAATCTTACTATTTAACTGATATAAGTTTGAACGGAAAAGTCTGTCGCATTGAATATCTGTTTCAGGCATGCACTTGTTGCTCTGGTAGTACTTTATTAGATATTAAATTTTATATCGGAGTTCCAAAAATTAATTATCTACCTCAAGCGCCTATAACAACAGATATTTTTAACGTTATTAGGTTTTTCCTAATCTGCCACTCAAAGGTCAGATTAATTCCGTCTCAACATAATTTAACGTATTTACCGCTAGTTTTGAAGAGCGGCGCGATATTCCGAGATAATTTCGTGTGCCATATTTCGTGGGCAACGCCAGTGCCACACATTTTACTAGAGTTATTTTAGCTGCAATATTTGCAGTAATTTTTAAATTTTTTTTTAAATTTTTAGAAGTTTAACAAAAAAGCAGATTTGTGACTGTCGTAATTATTCAATATTTGTTTTGGCATTACACATTTCCTTTATCTTGATTTTTTATCCATTTTTCAGCGCTGAACGAACGACTCAAAAATGGCCACCGGCCCGAAGATAGTACACAAGCAGTTTAATTCCCCAATTGGGCTCTACTCTCAGCAAAACATCAAGGAGACCCTTAGCAAGCATATGCAGAATCTCGACAATGGCACCGTAGGGTGAGTACACCACATTTTATAAATCTGTAGAAAACCGAGTCTTAAAGGAGTCACCATACATATTAACGCAGAACAGGCTTGAGAAGACCAAAAAAAGCCTTAAATCCATGCAACGGCGTCTATATACTAGCGTACTAGATGCGGCGTCTCGTGCACACGTTTTGTTTCACTGATGTGCCGTGAAGACACAACACTTCACGATTACAACAGAGTAGGGACAATATGAATAAAATAATTACTATGATTACTATGGTTAATTATAAATAGTAAGCGGAAGGCCTCTGGGTCAAAGTAAAATGAAATGTATTCTGCAACATATAGCGACTTCGCCAAGGGATTTACGTTAATTCCCCATCTTCTTCTCCCATATCATTGGTAGCACTCAATATTATCTGCCTGCCTATCTTATTCCTAATATGTATAGACTGTCACGTCAGTCCAAGGTACTACGGTTCTGTGTTAATAAGTGTGGTGTATCTCTAATATATGTATAGATAGCTGTACTAATTCACTACTGCATCTTCATACTAACATATTACGCCAGCCGACAGTCACTTAGTCGCCGACTACACAAAATAAATCTCTTTAACATAATATTGTCCTACAACAGAACATATCCGAAGACTGATATTACTATGACGAATCAAATGAGCCTGTGAGATAAGGGACGATTTGTATTGGAAATTAAAATTGCTCAATACAGGAAACTGTAATGATAATTATAGCCGTCAAAAAAACTTTCAGAACAAGAAGTTACAAATTTATCTCTATTACAAAATTTGTCAAATTTGGTTCAGCATAGTGTGGTTTAGGCGTGAAGACGTAACAGACAGAGTTACATTCACATTTATAATAATTGATTACACTTTGATATTATTTTGTATGTTATATAATCGATCTGTAATAGTACGTTTTGTATTAAGGACGTAAAAAAAGAAATTATTAACGAGAATCTATTAGAACCCCGAAGCCTAAGCCTGAGGGCTTTAATAACTCGAGTTTTATATTTTCTTACCGTGCGTGATACATACAATGATTTTCATCACATTTTCCAGGAAATAACTACAATTTTTATTTCTTGTATGAATAAATATGATTCACAACACAACAATTATAGATTTTGCTAATGGCGCATTTTTTGTTTTTTTTCTTCCATATTTTCTTCCTACTACATTCTTCCATAACAAAGATGAATCAGCCATGATGGATGGATTGTAAAAAAATTGCTAAATTTTTATACAAAAAGGAATTAAACCAATTATTACAAATTCTTAATAATAAGTATTTAAGTAGTATGTGGTTGAATTACAATAAAATTTCTTTTTAAATAACATTTAAGCGAATGTTTTAATTTTGAGCCCAAGTAACCTCTTTGTTTGAACTTGAACCTGACCTAAAGTATGTCATGCTACAAATTAAAAAATAAAGTGCTTACTGTCCATGGCTGTAATGGGTAGAAAACAGGCCCTAGGGTTTTATTTAGGGCATTATAGTCAAGTTAGCCACCATGCAATCATGCTATTTCTAGCAAGTGTGTTGAAAAGGTATGTACCAAGTGTGTAGTAATGTGCATGCGCCTAATAGTTGTATTGCCTTCACATTTTTTAATTCAAATTCAAATTCAAATTCAAAATAATCTTTATTTCATAGGTAAGCATTATTACACTTGAAATCGTCACAATGGTTAAACTCTACCGCTCATTCGTAAGGCAGATTCCCCTGAGAAGAATGAGCAAGAAACTCTAGGGGTTGCTCTTTGTAAATAACATTTACAATATTTTTTTATTTGAAACATCAGATTGAGACTACCTCCATGAGCTAAACGGGTTACTACCACGGATTTTTGTCATCCAAGTACGCAGAAGTTGTATAATAACCTTTAGTATAAAGTTTTTGTTTCACTATAGTTTTAAACCTCGTGAAAGGCAAATTTTGTATATCAACCGGAATCTTGTTATAGAAGCGTATACATTGCCCCTTAAATGATTTTTTGACTTTGTGAAGACGACTATCAAGAAAAGCTAGTTTATTTTTATTCCTCGTATTAATGTTATGTCTGTCACTATTTTTCATAAACATATTCCTTTTAACATAAATTACATTTTCATAAATGTACTGTGAGGCTAGTGTAAGAATGTTAATTTCCTTAAACTTATCTCTCAAAGATACTTTGGGGCCCAGATTGTAAATTGCCCTAACTGCACGTTTCTGCAGGACAAAGATTCTATTGATATCGGCGGCATTACCCCAAAGCAAAATGTCATATGTCATTAGACTGTGAAAGTAATTTTATTTATTTATTTTATTTTATTTATTTGTACATAAAAATAAATACAGTTCAGTTACCAATAACAGGAACAGGAACATATTACACCTTATGGAATACGTATGTTTAAGACATGTACTTTTAAACTTTATCTAAACCGGTTACACTGGCTCCTACACTAGGCAAAGCCTGTCTCGTAGGTAACCAATTCTGGAAAGAATGTAAAGTCTGTTCCAATCCATTCCGAACAAACAGCAAACAAGAGTGTTTGATGACTCAATATATCGAACAAGCAACACATTCACGTATATTTCGAAGACATCGACTTGATATCTCACCATTGTCTCCAACAACATTCATCCGAACAGCATCGCAAAATTGTATGTGAGAAATGGTAGTCCAAAAGTGATGTTATTTTCATCTATACATCCATGACCTGTCTATAGTTGCTTATTAATAATAAATTAGGATTTCGGAAATCTTAGATATGGCTAGAAGACTCAATTTAACAAATCCATTCATTCAGTTAATTAATCGATATGTAGTTGGCATTACAAGTGGCCATCACTAGACCCTCTATGGTCGGTGATTTGTTAGTTTACACTTTGTTCAAATTGGACTGAAACGAAGTATACAATATATATTATATGCGAAAAGTTAGTAGAGACGAGAAAATTTCTAAAAACCAATGAATTACTTATTAAACAATGGAAAATTAAATAATCTTAATTACTAAGCAATTAAATTACTTGTGCGTGCATGTGACTGAGCGAGTGGTCGTGCGCGTGTGTGTATGTGTGTGTGCGTGTTTGTGTGTGTGTGTGAGAGAGAGAGAGAGTGAGTGAGTGAGTGAGTGTGTGTGTATGTGTGTGTTTGTCTATTTGTCTACTTTCAGAATTTGTTCAACATCCTCATAGCAAAGTGATTTGAGCCAATTTTTCACTTTTAAGTTTAGTTCCCTGACTGAGTAATTTTTCAAAGGAAATTCGATACTTATTTTGTTGTAAATAAAAGGATGGAGAAATGAGCTAAATTTCTGGGCAAAAGCCGATTTCGTTAAGGGTACAGGGATTCTAAACCTACGTCTTTGCAGCATTGCGGCATATTCAGGAAATCTTAACACCTCCGCGTGCAACTTTGTAACAACGCGCAAAATAAAAATCCCTCGAACACTAAGAACATCCATGTCCTTGTAAACAAGTATGGTTGGGTACCTGATGCGTTCCTTAAGGATGACTTTCAATACCGCTCGTTGCGCCCTCTCCAGGGGGAGCATACAAGTCTTCGAAGCCCCACCCCATGCGGTTATACAGTACGCTATAACGGACTGACATATAGAAGTGTACACTATTTTAAGCAACCATTTGTCCGCAGCGTTGCGTAAATTCTTAAAAACATATATAAGTCTGCGAACACGATTAGCTGTAACCACTATATGCCGCCCAAAATCCAATTTCTCATCAAAGACAACACCAAGATATTTAATAGCTGTTGTTCGGTCAATACGTGCACATGTACATTTTGATGATGATTGTCCTTGACGGGTACAGGTATGAAGAGCAATGTCGGTGAAACCTGTTGGAGCTGAGGCCTTGGTCTTGTGAAAGCAAATAAATTTTGTTTTGGATATATTCAGAGTCAGCAAATTGTTTTGAAGCCATTTTGCCACAGCATCCAAACCCTGTTCTGCGGAACTAGCCACTTGAGCCCAAGAGTCACCGTGGAAAAGGATAGCGGTGTCGTCCGCGTAACATATAACCTCAGCATTGTGCAAATTACTGCTATTAGGAATGTCATTGATGTAAACAATGAATAGAGTCGGCCCCAAAATACTTCCCTGCGGGACTCCGAACTGCACTGGTTTACAGTTACTCATATTTTGGTCAACTTTTACACACTGCGATCGGTCTGTCAAATAACTTCTAAACCAGTCTAAAGCATTTCCTCTTATTCCGACAAGTGCTAACTTCTTTAGGAGAATCGGAATGGAAACAGTATCGAACGCTTTGGCCAGGTCGAGGAATACGCTCAAGCAAGCCTTATTTGCATCCAGGTATGTCGAGATCAGTTTGGTCATAAGAACAACTGCGTCCTCAGTAGATCTGTTTGCTCGAAAACCGTATTGTCGCTCTGAGAAAATGTTATTTTTTTCTAGGAAGCTGACCAACCGCTTGCTCACTAGTCTTTCCAGAATTTTAGAGAAGGCTCCCAGCAGAGAAATTGGTCTGTAGTTGCTGGGATCAGACCGGTCCCCCGCCTTGTGTATTGGAGTAACTGCCGCTACCTTCCAAGCACCAGGGAAGATTCCTTCAGCCAAACTTAGATTGTATAAGTAAGTGAGAGGTACCGTGATGGATTTTTTAACTGTCTTTAGTAAACGGTTAGTTACTCCATCAAGACCGGGGGCACTATCCGAGTTTAAGTTATGTATCAAGGACTCGACTTCAGCTTCGTCTGTGGGTTCAAAGAATAGCGATTGTGAAGGTGATACATTTACTGTAATTCTTTGCGCCAGTTCGTCTTGAGTCTTATTTATTTCAGTAAGAATGTTGGTCGCTGGAGTCCTACCAACACTCGAAAAATATTCGTTGCAGTGGTCCAAAGAATCGGTCACAGAGCTTTTAATTTTGCTCAGTTCTAGTGCTTTTTGCGAATTTTTATTAGTATAGGTTATGTTTTTTATTGTTTTCCAAAGCTTTTTAGGATTACTCTTATTCTCCCGTAATTCCATTGA